AAAGAAATTCGTAAATAAATGTAACAACACTGAGAGAAATGGATAGTCAGATTTTGATGTTAAAAATATGATGTTACACGATACTATCATTATGCTACTGCCAACCATCACAGATGCTAAAAAAAATATAGTTATGCTATCCCGTACTACCAAGATGTTACTCCTGATGATATTGATGGTAACGGTGACTATCTAGATAGCTGTCTGTATACGTAGCATTAAAGATGGTCACCCTAACCACAATTATGTTACCCACTACTATAAATTTCTCTCCGTGAACATTTTTTTGATATTAAAGTTTTTTTTCTTTATTTTTTAAAAACTTTCAAATCCATTTTCAATTAAAATTTGTAATTAACGAATTTATCAACATTTTTTCCCTTATTTTTAAAAAACTTTTAATATTATTAAAGCATTTGTAAATTGAGAATTTTCTACAAAAATGTTAAGAAACTGGAATATGTAATATTTTTTTTTAAGAGAAGAATTAGTTTATGAACAATATTGTTATTAAAAAATTAAAATTATGCATAATAAAGGGATATATTTCCTATTTTTGCAAAAAGAAAATTTATTTGTTAATCAAAATTTTTTGTAATTTTATAATTTTAAATATTATTTTATTTTAAATCTTGAAAAAGTGCATACTTTCAATTTGTGAAACAATATTTTGTAAAGAAAAAAACAAAAGCATACACAAAAACTAACTTTAAAGTGTGAACAGACAGAAAAAATAAAACGAAGATTAAATTGAAAAAATTTATATTGTTTACATGATTCATTCACAAAAATAACACAAACATGTGAAATTTATCCATTATAAATTTTACATATGTGACTTGGACAGTGAAAAGGGACCTTACGTGCGAAAACAAGTTTTCGAGAAAACAGCAGTTAAAGTTTAACTTAGAAAACCCCTTGTAACTTTTTTAAATATTAATATTTTTTAATCAATTTAGGCTTATTTTCTTCACCGTGAATCACAGTATCATAATAAAAAACATACAAGTAATGAAATTTTTTTTAAATAATTGTTTATATAAATTAATAACAAACTCCCCAAACATAAAAAAAATAATCTAAGTTTTCTAACTAGCAACAATAAGTATAAATAAGTGACACATGTTTGTAAGGGTTTTCGAGGCCGCTGATTACGAATATGATGTTAAATTGACAATTTAACAGTTGACAGATGTCAACTTCTCTAAAAAGTGATCGTTTTTTGTAAAAAATACAGTAATAAGGTTTTTGAGGTCGCTGATTACGAATATGATATCAAATTTGAATTTTAACTGTTGACAGTTGTCAAAGAAACTGTTAACTTTTCTAAATAATAAAAAATTATCGTCTTCGTTATTTTAATTTGTATAATAACAAAAATTCAGTTTTTTCGTATTTTAACTCTTGTTTCTTTTGACTTCAAAAATTTTTTTTAAAAACTTCTAATTAACTTATGATTTTTTGGTTTGCACCATCTTAAAGAGCGTTTCAAACCCTATCCGAATCAACAAAAAAGTAAAAAATGATTTTTTGACACGTTAGGTCCCTTTTCATTGACCAGGTCACATATTATAAATTATTTACATAAACTTTTATTTCACAAGTTTACTTTTAATTCCTAAACAACACATTTAGGTTATTTTGTATAGTTTCTCTACTTTAGCATGCGGTTCATGCACACTAATACTACTTTATATTATATACGTTTATTACAAGGATGACACACAACCTTATTTTTTATTAGCATTTCGTATACGACTTTGCATCTCGAATGGCCACTACGGCCACTACCCACTCGAGATGAACCATTCGGAAATTATCGCATACGACATGAAATCTCGCATGCGACAAGCGTTCGAGAATAGCTTTTTCCATCTCGAATGGTCTGTCGCATGCGACATCTAGGGTCATCGATTCGAGAATACGGCCACGGCCCCAGTTCGAATGTCGAAAAACCGACAATCAGTGTTGCCAGATGCAATGAAACAAATTGTGGACTCGACCTATTAAAATTATGGTACATTATGGTACGCAATGACTATTGTTACGAGCCGAGTTACCTTTTATTACGCAACTCTAACAATGGCATTTGATTGGCCGGATTCTCATTAGTTTAATCCTTTAAAAAGGAAGCGGGAAGGTTTAAAATAATAAAACTTTGAATTCCGGTACAACGGAAGGGAAACCCGTTCGAAAGAAGAATAATTATTTGTTCTCCTTTCGAAGGTAAAACCCTGTAAATTTATTAAAATATCAAAAGATACAAACTGACTGAAGATCAAGCTTTCAAGTCAGAGTCAAGATTAGAACTAAAGTTGAAGTCATGAAGGAGTATAAGGAGACATATCTCCAATGGGAAAATTTCCTGATATTGACTGTACTTCTCTGCAGTAAAATCGACAGGTACGCGAAAAGTAATAGCCTCATGTTCACTGGTAACAGCGCCGCCAAACGGGAGAAATAAGTGCAATTTTACATTTTAAGTATTTCAGGGAGTAAGACTAAGGAGACTGAACTAATGCTATGGAAGTGAAACCATTCGTCGCATTGAAACTATACGTAAGACCGAAAATTATGGTTTTCGCGCATGCGCACATGCAATACATTTGTCTGTCTTTCTCAGTAACTCAGATAACTGAGAAAATCATGACAAGCTACAAGTTGAGAAGGTTATGTTTAATGTTTGTGAATGTTGTGCGTTTCAGGAATATTATTAATAATAACTATTAATAAATTTAAAAAAAAATTAATTTAATAAATATATATGTGCATACAAAAATATATACTAAAGAGTATATTTTTCAGTGATAAGTAATATATTAATAATATAATGAAATATTTATAAATGTTCAGAATAAATTTTTTTGGTATATAACTACAAAGTGTTTTATTCTTTGTGGAAACAATTGAACAATTCATAAATAAATAATATTTACGAATTTGTAATTTACTTTAATTATATACTTTATAAATAAACAACTTTAAATGTCACATAAGAGTTATCAATAAGTTAATTTATTCGTTTGTCGATCATTGTAATAATTATGATGTTTTGCATCCTGGGATGCAACAAACCATAATTTTGTAATTTTATTTTAAGAATCATGTGTCAAAACGGTCAAAACACAACCATAACCTATTGATATGTTTTTGTTTTCTCACTTGTTCATATTTTACGATATAAAAAGAGAGGGCAATATGCGCATGTACTGCGCATGCGCGCGGAGCATAAGTTTTGTCATTCTGCGAGTATAGTTCCCCTACAGAAAAAGGTTTCATTTTTGAGAGACTTCACACAGTCAGTTCAGTCTCCTTAGTCTTACTCCCTGAAGTATTTTTATCTTTGACAGCTGATTGATATTTAAAGTTAGAGGATCCTCTGAGTGTTGTATTGTAAAATATATGAACAGAATTAAATTGTTTTATACGTTATATGAATAGAAAGGACTTCAAATAAACAACCAAAAATTCTTTGCATTAAATTCATAAATGTCTGTTGGTAAAAGTATAAAAACTTTTACCCTTACAAAATAGTATATTAAATAAACTTATCATTCTCGGTGCTTTGAAAAAACACTTTTTTCAGAAGCATTTTTATTTGCTTTATAACTAGACATGCAATTTTTTATAAAACAATTCATATTACTATTATTTTATTGTTAAAAAAACTACGTAAACAAAACTTTTATCATGGACAGCACACGGAGAGAAGTTTGAACCTTGTTTGTTTGTGTTGTAACCTAAAATCACGGTGTGATCAGAGTTTTAGACGATGATTGGAAACTTAACCTAGTTTTCGACAAGATGTAGCGCTCTCTGACGGTGACTGTCACCGCCACTTGCGATTTGTGAATGGAAAAACTCTGTGAGATCACTCAGATTTACCGTGATCTTCCCCCTCTTTTAACCTTCTGAATTAGACACTGTCTTTTATGGTTCAAAGTTCTCTCCGTGCATGGAGGGTATATATTTTCTCCTGTAGGGGCGCTAATATCAGTGAACAAATTTCCGGTATGCCAATTTTCGTGCATGGCGATTTTACGCAGTCAAGTACAGTCAATAGGGATACATATACATACTTCTCCTTATACTCCTTCATGGTTGAAGTGAAGTCTAGCGAAGACGTTCTCCGCTGAAGTCCAAATTTATAGAATTGCGCATGCGTCAGTTAGACGCACACACACACACACACAAAATACACTGTACGTCATATAATAATGACACTCACACATTTAAGAAGTATCATCTCACAACATACAACATACTGTATTCTAAATAATAATAATTAATAACAATAATTATTAATAATATAATTAATCAATGTCACGTCCCAAGTTCAATAATAGGGAATTTTGAATATAAATACGTTGGGGAATTCAACTGCTAAAATCACTAAAGTGTACCCTGTAAATAGGAGGAAGATTCAAATTCTACTTTTAAATGATTACAACCAGAAATACTTTAAATTTGTTACTTTAATGAACATTAAAGAGCCAAGGATTACAAGTTCGAGCCGAAAGATTACAACATGTAATCAGGTAGAGAGCTCGGAGATATCTGACGAGATGAGATCCTGTGGTCCATGGGTCCCCATAGGACCCTGCGCGCGTTGAGCAGAGGGGATGACTACCTCTTCCTTTGAACTTCCCTGTGACCAATACAACCCTGACGGAGTGTTATTTTACAAGTTATTTACACATTCATACTATTCTTTCATTATTTACATTTAACATTAACAATATATGAAGTTAATTAATATTTGTATATTTAATTACCATAGAATTATGGTAACTTTGAATTACTAATAAGATATTACAATAAATGTAGATAATTTGTATTATAATACAACTTATTATTATTAATTTTATTATTATTATTATTATTTATTATTATTATTATTGTTATTTAATTAATCAATAAATTAATTAACAAATTCAATAACTTTTATCATTAATTAAGTGTATCTAATTATTTAACTAGTAATGAAATGGTAAACAGTAATCAATTTATAATCGTTGTTTTATAAAATTGTTAGTGATATACATAGAATTAAAAATAAGAAATTCATATCAAATTTGAATATTGTAATTAAATAGAAAGCTCATTTCTTTTTCTTATATACGAAGGATGAGTCATAGGTTTTTCCTGACTATACAATACCCTTTTTTTATACCGGGGACTCGAGTAAGGTCCGAGTCCCACGGTCCCTTTTTTATTGCTACCACATGTTTGGGTTTTCCCAACGGTTTCAAAGTTCGGAAATATGTATTTCTCAAAAGGCTATTTTTTATAGAAATAAACTCTGTTTCTTTCCAATTCTAATTTTTTGTGTCCTACGTGACATTTGCCTCATTTTCGCAGACTATTTCAACATCTGTAATTTTAACTATTATTCCTTTTCAAAAAGCAGCACATGTTTGGTTGCCATTCTATTTCGTTCTTTAGATTTTTTGCATGTGATAAAATTCTTTACGGAAATAAGCAAATAAATGCATGCGTTTTTATACGAAGAGTTACGTAGTGTTTTTCCCTAGCGGAGAATTACGTGAATTTATGCCTGCCGCAAGAAGACTATATACAGGAGAACCAACTCGCCTGCTTGTTCATAGAGAGCAGTGGTCCCGTTTTTAACGGACGACTGGGCGTACTACCCCGAGGCGCACTAGTCTTCTGCACATCGCAACACATGCATAACTGTATAAACTCTATCTGTGTATCTTTAAATAATGTGTGTTTGTTTTGTTTACAATTTTCTTGGTTATGTGCAAGTTCTGTGACAGTTGATTTTGAAAACACTAAATGAAATGCCATAAAAGAGTTTGTATCTTCTGAAATATTTTTGCTTGATTTCATCTTTATTAGTTTTTATAATTTATAAATCTCTTTTAAAATCTTTGAAATATCGTAGAGCGTTAAATCCGAAAACTTAGTTCAGTTGGAAAAATTCCTCTTTGGAGGTTATGGTTAACCTCAAATACAATGCTATAACAGAAATAAATATAATTGGAGCAATAATAAATATATAATAAATTATATATTACAATAGGATAGATAATAATTTATAATATAACATACCCTTTTTTTATTGTAAGATAAAAAATGGTTATGAAAATCCCATTACAACTTTTATTATTTAAATTAACACTCTTCATCAATACGAATCATAATTAAAAACACTAGTGTTAAATACACTTCTCACTTTTATTAGAAATTTCTGTATTAAAAATATTAAGTTCACTTAATATTTACACTTATTATTCAATATGAGGGGATAATAAAAACTTGCAGCTGTTACAGCTGTCAGATGGAATATATATAAAATATACACAGTTATGCATGTGTTGAGGTGTGCAGAAGACTAGTGCGCCTCGGGGTAGTACACCCAATCGTCCGTTAAAATCGGGACCATCGGAAATACTCGAGTTGTTCCTCCTTAGTGTTCTTAAATTCTCGAGAATTTAAGTTGGGGTAATTTCCCTAAGGAAATTACGGTAATTTAATTTTTTTAAGAGACTATAAGAGAATTTAAGAGAATATTGAGAATTTAAGTTTATTTATTTAAATAATGTATATTTATTATTTTTATTAATATAAATACATATATTTCAGCACAATTGCGATGATTACTTTTATCTAAAAGAATTCTTTAAGTTATTTATGTAAATAAAAAAAGTAAAACCACATATTTTTTAAGTTATAAATTTAATGACATTTACATTTATAAGGTTTATAAAATATGCGTAACTTAGTACGAATAAAAGTTTAGATACTTTTGAATATAGACATATATAAATAAAGAATAAGTAATATATTTAACATTATATACAATGAACTTAAAATTTTTTAAAATAAATATTTTGAAATTATTTGTGAATAAAGGCTCTCTGTCAGCTCTGCTGCGAGAGTAAGAGAGAAAAACCATTTAATTTGAATTTTCTGACTCTCTTACTCTTATGCGTTACCATGACAACCTGCAGTCAGTAGAGCTGTGCAAGTACCTTTAATATATAGCATTTGTGGCATATTATTATTTACAAAATTTACAGAAGAATTTAATTGTTTTTGTATTCATTGCTTTTAAAATATTTCCATTTTACACTCTATGGTTTTGTCATTTTTTAAATCTTTAAATATATAGTCACTTAAATAAACAAAATAACAACTACTAAATAAAAACACAACGTCGGACAATCGAATTTACCACAGAGCAATGACAAAAGTGAGGTTATGTCACATTCTCTTAAATTCTCAGAGAATTTAATCGTCGGTTATATTCTCGGTAATATTCTCGTTCTCGGTAATATTCTCTGGGTAATATAACCGACTTAGAACACTAATTACTACTGGATAGAGGACACCAATGCTTTGGTCCATTGATATGTATTACTACTGGATAGAGGACACCAATGCTTTGGCTGTTTCAATCTTGTGTCCAAGTAGAAAGTCGGAAGTTGGCCACCATTGGTGGCAATTTTTCATTTTGTAGCGGGTAAATTGAAAAGTATAAAAATATGATTGTTTAATTTTAATACTTAAGAAAAATAATTTTCAAGTGAAATCACTACCCAAGAGTAAAAAAATTATTATTTTAATAATAATTTCTGAAAGTAAACAAAATTATTATCTTTAATCATGGGTATAAAAATAATTATTTAGAAACAATTTATCGAAACTGCACATAAAATTATTGGAAATAAAAAGATATGTCCTTAATTATTTAACTAATAATGCGATTAATTTATTATTAAAATTTGTGTTATTTACAAATAAAAATAAATTCAAAAGAATTGTTAATTAATTCAAATTTATTTGTATTAAAATCTTGTCAAATTTCATTACTAGAAATGAATGGTATTTTTTTATATTTACAATTAAAAATTTCCTGAACAAATTTATACCATATTTTTAAAAATACTAGTTTAGAAAAGTCCATTATAAATGAATTTTTATATTGGACATCTCTGCTTCTGAACACGGGATACATTTCTTAAAGTTGAAATAATGGATCGGCTTTTCTTTAATTTTTTTCTCAATGACCTCGGTGAATTATAATAATGATGGTCTTCATAAATTTGACGACATTGTTTTGCATTAGGTGTTTCTAGTAACAAATGTTTAAATAAATGTTAATAAATATGTAACATTACTTTTGACGTAAATAAAATCTTAATATGCATTGACGAAATTTGACTTACCAAAATTATTTTTAATTACAACACTAGATTGTGCTGATGTACCAGAGTTTGTTTGTGGTAATGCGCTATTAGAGCTTTCTGTTGATTCACCAGAGTATGCTGGTAGTCATGAAGGAGTATAAGGAGAAGTATGTATATGTATCCCTATTGACTGTACTTGACTGCGTAAAATCGCCATGCACGAAAATTGGCATACCGGAAATTTGTTCACTGATATTAGCGCCCCTACAGGAGAAAATATATACCCTCCATGCACGGAGAGAACTTTGAACCATAAAAGACAGTGTCTAATTCAGAAGGTTAAAAGAGGGGGAAGATCACGGTAAATCTGAGTGATCTCACAGAGTTTTTCCATTCACAAATCGCAAGTGGCGGTGACAGTCACCGTCAGAGAGCGCTACATCTTGTCGAAAACTAGGTTAAGTTTCCAATCATCGTCTAAAACTCTGATCACACCGTGATTTTAGGTTACAACACAAACAAACAAGGTTCAAACTTCTCTCCGTGTGCTGTCCATGATAAAAGTTTTGTTTACGTAGTTTTTTTAACAATAAAATAATAGTAATATGAATTGTTTTATAAAAAATTGCATGTCTAGTTATAAAGCAAATAAAAATGCTTCTGAAAAAAGTGTTTTTTCAAAGCACCGAGAATGATAAGTTTATTTAATATACTATTTTGTAAGGGTAAAAGTTTTTATACTTTTACCAACAGACATTTATGAATTTAATGCAAAGAATTTTTGGTTGTTTATTTGAAGTCCTTTCTATTCATATAACGTATAAAACAATTTAATTCTGTTCATATATTTTACAATACAACACTCAGAGGATCCTCTAACCTTAAATATCAATCAACTGTCAAAGATAAAAATACTTAAAATGTAAAATTGCACTTATTTCTCCCGTTTGGCGGCGCTGTTATCAGTGAACATGAGGCTATTACTTTTCGCGTACCTGTCGATTTTACTGCAGAGAAGTACAGTCAATATCAGGAAATTTTCCCATTGGAGATATGTCTCCTTATACTCCTTCATGCTGGTAGTAATGCATTGTCAGAACCTAAGGACAAAAAATGAGAAAAGTATTATTAAGAAATTAAATATTAAAACGCACTGAGAAAACATTATACTTAAATGAAACACAAAAATAATGTTAGACGATTTTGTTTAATTGAAATTAGTTTGTAAGTTTAATCTCAATATATAGAAAATATTTACTGCATTGATTCAAAAGTATTATTTGTTTGAATAATTATATTTAATTCAAACATATTTTCTGTTACGGTTTAAACAAAAATTATGTTTAAAAATTTTATGTTTGAATCAAACTTAAAAGTTGACTACAGATAATTTAAAATCAATTACAATTTATATTTGATTTCAATATATAATCTCTTAAACTAAACCAGAAAATATGTTTGAATTAAACTTAAATATGTTTGACTGTATGGCAAAGATATTTTAAGTTTGATTTAAGCAAAATTTGTTTGAATCAAATAATTTCTTTTCTCAGTGCGGTCTTTCTTGTTAGTTTTGTTGAAGCCTTAAAAATAAATAAACCATCACTAATAAATGTAAATAAATTGTATTCTTTGAAAATTTTTTTATTTTACAAACTAACAAGCTTACCTAGAGATTTATCTTTTTCGGATAAAACTAATACGTTTTCCATAATATTGTAATTCTCAAAATCTGTTAATTTTAATAATTTTGGAATTTGTAAGCCATTCGGTGAGACTTCTCTTTTGTTGCATTTATTATTAAAAGTTTCCTGAGAATTATGTATATCAACATCTATAAAAAAAGAAATCACTCTTAAATATCTTAAGTTAATTGAAATATTAATAAAAATATTAATAACTTTACCACTACTCCTTGCAAATAAAGTTCGAACAGCATCAGAGTTTAGAATTAAATATTTTCCTGTTTTTCTGAAGCAAGTGTTGTCGAAATGATCACTGCACAAAAGACTTCTCTTTGTTACTTCCACATCTTTCAGATTCATTGCAGATAGCCATTTTTGTAATAATATAGGATTTTCAACAGGAAATCTGTTATAAGAAAAAAATAAAATTTAACTGAAACTAAAATTTACTAAATAACATTTTTTTAAAAATACACTGAAAAAAAAATTTATTTGATTCAAATAATTCAAATTATTTGAAAAATATTTAATTGATTTAAATACTTTTTAGTTGGATCAAAAAAATATGTATTTGATTTAAATATCTGCAATTATTTGAATCATACTTATTTGAACCAAATAAATCGTACTTGATTCAAATAAATAGTTAATTGAATTGAATAAATAAATTTATTTAATACAAATATTGAATTATTTGAAACTATTCTTTCATTTATTTCACTCAAATACTTCGTTTATTTGATGCAAATAAAAATAAATTATTTGACACAATAAATTTATTTTATTGATTCTAATAAGCGGAATTATTTGCTCCGAATAATTTATTATTCAAAGCTAATATAATATTTTATCAAGACAAATAAAAAAATATTTCAATCAATTAAATAATTATTTGAAACGAAAATAAGGAATTATTTGAAACTGCTCTTTCATTTATTTTACTCAAATACTTCATTTATTTGATGCAAGTAAGAATTATTTGATTCAGTAAATTTATTTTATTGATTCTAATAGACTGAAATATTGAATCCGAATAATTCATTATTCAAAGCTAATATACATTTTATCAAGATAAATAAAAAAATATTTCAATCAATTAAATAATTATTTGAAACGAAAATAATGAGTTACTTGAAACTATTCATTCATTTATTTTACCCAAATATTTCGTTTATTTGATGCAAATAAAAATTATTTGACACAATAAATTTATTTTATTTATAATTATTACAAATAAATTTATATTATTACTATATAAATTTATTATTATTGACATAATAATTAATATTATTAAAAAATATATAAATAAAAATATTACAATAAGTTGATTTTTTAAAGAAATATTGAAATATATTCGTAAATATACATTGAATAAAGTATTGAAAATATAGCGGCAAAATTGTTCACTGCCTTGTAGTAATTCTACAAGTTTTATTTGAGCTAGTGACACTTGAGAGTATTTAAGATTTGAGAGTCCCATGCGAGCGTAGTATAGTGGTTAGCGTGCGTGACTACGGTGCGTGAATATTCGGTTAGGCGTGGGTTCGTACCCCCAAGCGTTAGGATTTTTCAAATGTGTATGTAATAAAAATTGCGTTTAAGTGTATAAAAAAATGTGAAAGTGAACTATCAATGAATTGTCATCAGTATTTATCTTTTGCAATTAGTTATTTTTTTTATTAATATTTGTTGATGTTGAAATTATCAATATTGAATGAAATAATTTTCATACTTGATTCAAATAATTATTTATTACATTAAAATATTCGATTTATTTGATTAAAATAATTTGAATTTGATTCAAATAAATAGTTATTTGATACAATTAAATAAAATATTCGGGTCAAATAAATATATATTTGAGTTGAATATATTTTGAATTTGATTCAAATAATCATTTATTAGATTCAAATATTCTATTTATTTGATTTGAATTAGTTGTATTTGATTCAAATAAACAATTATTTGGTGCGATAATATAAAATATTTAGTTCAAATATTTATGTATTTGGTTCAAATACACATTTATTGGATTACAACCAAATAAATAATTTATTTGAATCAAATAATTTTTATTTGATTCAAATAATTTTTTTTTTCAGTGTATAATTAAAATGAATCAGGAGAAAATTCATTACTTTTACTCATATCTTTTGTGTAATTAAAAATTAATTTTTATTAAATATTAGCAAAAATAAACAAAATTTGTAATGTTTTTTGAATATTTGAATGCATATACACTTACTTTCGATAGGACCTATTTTTATTAACTCCTTTTATTTCATGGCAATAAATGCAGCTGGATTTATATGTTTTAAATTTTGTAGGGATACTTCCTGATAATAAAGTTCCTTTTATTTTATTTTCAAGGCATTCTTTCTCAAAATGATCTGAACATAATCGAGCCAATTTACTAGGCTTGAAGTTTGGCCCTAATTTCATATTTTCAATCCATTTTTCCAGCAGTTTCTTATCATTCCATGGAAAACTTGTGAAATTAATTGTATATAAATTAAATAAAATTGTCGATGGATCTTGTTCAAACAAGAATCCAGTAAATCCGAACAAATTTTATTCCATTTTTTGACAGGTCTCGACTTTGAGGTTATGTTGGCCTTTAAAAAACTTTTCGAATTTAAATTTTTAAAAGTTTTATAAATTTGTATCATTGAACAATGTGGTAGGTCTATTCCACACACAATGTTGTTATTGATTTCATATTTTCTATTTACACAACTTTTTTATATTTTTTCTGTAGTCCTGATGAGCTGTGTTCACAGTGAAAATGCATTCGATGAAATAAAGTAATAATTGCTGATTTTTAACAACTTTCTCAAATCTTTTGGACCCAAGGCCACAATATAAACAATTTTATTTGACAAAAATTAAGGTCCTGAAAACACTCTACGTTTTAAATTATAATGAAACAGATAAATATACCTATCAATGAAACAAAAATTTGATATACACACAAACATAACCTACTTTTAATCAACATCTGCTACTTGTGGCTCTCCGCAATAAATACATTTACGTACCATTATAATGTTATGTAATTAAATTTAAAAACTTTTTTTACAGAAATAATCATTACAGAAAACATAACCATCCATACTCATTGCACATGTCAACACAAACAAATCACATGTTAATGCGCACGCGTGAAAAACAGCCACCAGTTGGTGAGCCTTCAAGTCGTTTCAACCGGAAGTCGACTGTCCTCTATCCAGTAGTAATACACCCAGCGGGCACACTTCTCTTTTTGATAACTTCAAGTTATCGTTTTGAGTAAATGTTAACATTTTAATGCCTTTTAGTTATCGTGTGCCCCTAGGGGCATATCAATGAAAAGAATATATAGAGATCTTGTAAATATAGCGCGAAATTCAAATATAAAGTGCGTCAAAGTATTAATTCAGTTTCTTAAAAATGAATAAATCAATAAAACAAATTTAATAATTAATAAAAATAAAATAAAAAATTTAAAAGAAACTTTATACTTTCAATATTTTTATGCTGTTAATTAACAGTTTTAAACATAAATGTTATAAACATTTTACTGCCAATAAATATATATAATAAATTTCATTTGTTAATTAGTCGATTTTTGGAAGACAGGTGAATAAAGCACATTCACTTTTTTAACGACGACGTTTCGGAGGCACGGTTAGCCACCATCATCAGTTAAAAAAGTGAATGTGCTTTATTCACCTGTCTTCCAAAAATCGACTAATTAACAAATGAAATAAATATATATGGAAGGAAAAAAAAATACTCTTTAATTATATATAATAAATGTTTATATCATAATTCATATTTATAAATATTTATTAACAAATCTTTTAAAACTACTTTAACTTGAGTTAAAGTTTCTCTTAATCTAATATAAACTCTCAAAAGTGAACAAATTCAAAATTTTAATCAAAAGCAATCTCGCATGTCTCTTCACTTTCAGAATCATTAATTTGTAAAAAAAAGTTCAATTCTATCGAAAATAAAGATTGACTCAAAATTATGGTACGCGACAAACTATGGATGGTACATGGTACAAGGGGTTAAATTATGGTACGGTCTGGCAACACTGAGTCCGACATTCGAGTTATGGAGCTCTCACAGCTCTGCCTGCCTGCGCAGGCAGTAATTGGAGTAAGAGAGAAAATCAATTAGAGTGAAAGAGATAGTAAATTCAAATTTGTATGCTGCCTACTAGCTGTGAGAGCGCCTTTAGCCTAGTTCGAATGTCAAATATTCGACATTCGAACTAGCCCAGTTTGGATGTCGAATATTCGACATTCGACATTTCGGGGCCCCAAAACCGAACTAAACTCGGTTCGGTTCGAATTTTGCACAGCTCTATAAAGTATCAATTTATAAAAATTATCGAATTTCAAATAAGGTCTAAAATTAAAAAATTTTTGAAATTCTAAATTCCTGTTCAAAAATAGTGATAATGGTAAAAGATTTGATTTAAAAAAAATTATAAATGTTTTGAATAACTTTACAATGAAAGATATCAAATAAATGTATTAAGAACATTTTTTTTGTATGTAATTATTATTAGAATGAATCAAAAAAATTTTTAGGGTCAGGGAAAAAGTCAAAATTCTGTCTGAAAATCAGGGAAAAAAATCAAATTTTTGTGGAAACCCTGTTTTTAAAATTTAAATTTTTGTCGAAAAATAAATAACAAGCTTTAAATATTTATTTAATGAAATTATTGAAGTTTTGAATAATTGAATTTGAAAATCAGTGAATCGATGCGAAGCCTGTATTTATTATTAGTTATTATTTAATTGTTGCCATAATTGGTAGTGCGGTTGTAACTGGGTAAGAAACAGTTTAATTCTCATTATTTTTAATAATTGTATCGAAAATGAATTAGTATATCTATAATAATTTTTATTATTATTAATAATTTTACTTGAAAATTCTAAAAATAATTAAAGTTTTGTAAAGTTACGTGTACAATTTTTATAAACAATTGAATTTCAAAAGAGTTCGAAACAAATTTTTAGGACATTTGAATTTTAAAAAAACTTTAATTGAAAACTCTGAAGAAATTAGTTTAGAAATTATTATTTTTATTAATATTGTTATTATTATGTAGTTAGTGTTGTTTTGATATATATTCTATCGAATAATTATTATTGGAATCAATTTGTTCTATATTCCGAAGCGTAGGTATATTTGATAATTAAGTAATTTTATTTTTTGAATCCATATTAATGGCAATTTAAAAAAATAAATTGAAGCGAATTTTTTATTTTTTGCTGTAAAACTCGGTGGTATGACCTTGCGATATAATTTCTGCTCAGGAACAACGTCTTGGTCGTCGGTTATTCACTCTTTGCTCAGTGAAAGTCTCTTTATTTTTAAAAGGTATATCTCTAAAACGTGAAATTCTAATTGTTAGATTGTCTCTCTTGGAGTTGGAAATAAGAAATAAGCGTTTTATAAACCCGAGGTCCCAGGAGATTGATACACCACTGCGTTCACCACGAAAGTACTCGAGTCCGTTGATTCCGTTTGGGGCCCGTTTACTCGACCAATCAAATGGCTTTTTACCTGTTGGTTTTGTACTGAAAAACCGAACAGGTAGATTCACGAGGAAGGGAGTTCGGGCGTACCAAACAGTGGAGGCTCAGGTATTTTCCAGTCGATGATGTGCGGGACTTAGGTCCACCGAAATCTCGGTTACGTTTACTACGTTACGATATTTATATTTATATATACATATATATTTGTAAATATATCAAATAGGTAAGTAAGTAAAGTGACGTCTCTTGTGATTCATAGTCTCGTGATTTTTCACTTTACCTGCTGCAATATTGCGTTTTTATTTACTAATTTCTTTTTTTTTGTTTGTTTGTTTCTTGTGTGCTGGTTTAGTTTTATGTCTCGAAGTGACCATAGAGTGATCCAAATAGTGATAAATGCGTGAATCATAAAGAAGAAACCACGCCTGGAGATAAAAAATAATATTCACAAGGATCGACGTGATTGACGATAATATTTTTCTGCAAAAGGCTGACACGACGTACGTACTGGAGTGAAACTCGCTGCTGCTGCTGCTATTGCTGTCAAGGTATTTATGGAAATGATTTCTCGATGACCTAAGTCATTGCTCCCCATTGAAACACATTTTATTATTTCACCATAAGGATTCTTATAGTTTTCAATAATCCAGACAATTCGTCGGAACACTTGTTACGTTTCGATCACGTAACAAAATTATTGATCAAGTTTTTGCTTCAATTCGAAAATGGATCACGTTTTTAGAATCCAGAAGCTGCTTGCCTTTTAAGAGGCCACAGTTCTTTCAAGACTTAATAATTTTTGTTTACATTTCTGTTTCTGTTAACTACTCCGTAAAAGATTGCTCCAAATCGTAAATGAAAAAAGTCAGGATTTTTTTTTCTCTCCAAAACACTTAAAATTTGAAAGGGAAAAAACGATTTCAAAAAGGAAAGTTTAGAAATTTCTATAAAAGTAAACGAATAAATTATCTGTAAAAATATCTGAGAAAAGAAATTTTAATTTTAACGAATTTATAATTATAATTTTCAATTGTAATTATTAATTACGAAGCATTTTTTAAAAATAATTTTCTGCTTTATTAGACTTACAGAATTATTTTGAAGTGCAATTTTCATATATTTTTTGGTATCAAGGAAGAAGTGAATTGTCTTCTACTTGAATGTTTATTTATCACTCACGACAATTCCTTCAATCGCAGTGACTTTCTTAAAAATTTTGGTAAATAAATTCTCAAATAGAAAACGAATTTGTCTTTTTTTCATTGAATATACCCGTGTAGAAATTGAAATTACCCTACTAGGGCCATAGTAAGGAATAAAACGTTGCGCCCGATCAGGCCCAGATCGAGGCGACAAGAAAATGTGGATTTCCAGATCAGGGCCACATCGGGCGCGGCGTTTCATTCCCTAATAGGTCGGCCCTGATCAGGGTCCCAGCGAAATTTCTACACGGGTAACTAGTTCAGAATATCCTGAGAGTTTATAATTAAAATTATAACCATAACAACAATATTAATAGAAAATTTGTATATTTTTCTTATTCTGATTGTTATTAATATTATTACTTTTATTTATTTGTAGACGGAAAAAGCAATATTGTTATTATTAAAATTATTTTTGTTACAACTATTCTTCAATTAGTCCAAAGCTATTAATGTTTGAAATTTTATTATAGTGTTAAAAGTTTTAACCTAATTTAATTTATCTCAATAAACAGTAAATTTTATATATTGTTTGAAGAATTTCGAAGATAGACCATAGATACTCGAATTTTGTGATAAGAACTGGGTTAATTTGACAATGGGAAATTAACTAAATATTCTTCTAATTTATCAAGAAATAATAAAAAAAATCTTTTCTGCGTTTTCAAAATTAATCCAAATGAAAAAACACATTTTTTAAGTTAATGTATATGTATCATATTGTTTATTATTACAAACATTTAATAATAAGTAAATAACAATTGCTATTTATTATTTTTTAATAATAATAATAATAATTATTATTATTATTCCGTTATTTTTCTAAATAAATAAATAGTACAATAGTAAACAATAATTTATTTATTTATTTATAATAATAATAGTAAAAATAATAATAAATTATTTTCGAGATATTTCAATGATGATTTGAAAGTTAATATTCCCCAGTCGAGAAAGAGAATTATCAAAGAAAATTAATTGATGACCTTCGATCACTTTTATGGAATCTATCAATTTCCATAAAATCCCATGAACCCCCCAAGCACATTTTATTGATGCTTTGAAACTTACTGGTTTTCATTATTATAATTATTATACTCGGAGATGGAGAAATTTTGATTAAATTCCTTTTCTAATTTTTATTATCATTGTAATATTTTTTTCATATATTTATTTCTTTTTTCCATTTTTGTCATTAAAGACTAGACAAAAAATAATCAAGCTAATTTATCATTTAATTAAAGGGTTGATTAGCATTATAAAAAATGGGAGAGAGAGGGAAGAATTATGACTATTATATATATGTATACATGTCTATATGAAAACTATGTTATTTGATTATTATGTACTTTGAAAACGGATTTCACGTACTATTGTAATATGTTTTGCTCTGATGACGTTCCAGAACGACTTTCAAATTAGTAAAGAACAAAAATTTTTAATTCTTTCATTTTCAAATTGAATTATTAGCTTTAACATGAATTTAAATGTTCTAATCATTTTGTCCGTTAATTTGAATTTTGGAATAGAATTTTTTTCTTGTCCCTTACTGACTCAATTTTAGTGGCTTTTCTATTTCTATTTTTTTTTAATTTCTTTATTTTTGGTCCAAAAACGATAAATACATGAATAAAAATTTATTTATTTACATAAAAATTTAGTTAGTATTGTATCTTCGTTAGAAACTTTTAAAAAAAAATACACTTTTAAGCTTTGTAGTTTTGCGATTATAAAAAGAATATTTAAATTGCTAATTTTTAATTATAAATTGACAATGTGATTGACTCATACGTGACATACAAATTACATAATTGTAAATTATGGAAAGTAATTTAAAATTCTAATTTTCAATTGCAATTATCATGACAAATATTTAGTTTATCACACTAAAAAAAAAGTTTTACTTTCAGCCTCTTTTTGAGGCTGAATTTATGATGTAAACGGAGTCAGCCCCGTTAAACAAGGACAGACTTATGTGAAATACATGGGCTGAATTTAAGGTGTAAACGGAGTCAGACTTTTTTTTTCCTGTGTATTGATTGTATCACGTGACAGCATTTGACTTGATTATTATTAATGCGTTATTTTACGACAATAAAAAATTATCAATCAACATAATATTAAAGAAAACCATCAATATTTAAATTTTTCATTTCTTTGAATTTTTCCAAGGCTGTATTTAACTATTTTATTTTTTACTTTATTAAGATGTATGGAAATAATTATTCAACTATTTAACTAAATACCTAATAATTATCTTAATTTATATATATATATATATATATATATATATATATATATATATATATATATATATATATATGTGACTGTCCACGAGAAAACAGGGCTTAGCTCTAAAAAATCATTTTGAGTTTTTTATGCTAATCGATAGATTTTATATTGCTTTTTCAAATGCAAAAATCAAAAGTTGTAAATTGTCAATTACTTTTGACAATACAACGTTTTAAAGATGTTATATTGTATGCATTCCTTCGTTCTGCTTCTTTCAATCACTAGCCCTGTGAAAGCTAAGCCCTGTTTTCTCGTGGACAGTCATATATATATATATATATATATATATATATATATATATATATATATATATATATATATATATAAATTTCTCTTATTTCGATTTTAATAATTTTGTAAATTAAATTACATATTTAAATATTGACATGAAAAGTCATTAAAAAGAAAAGAAATGGGAAAATATTTAAATTCGTCTTAAAAAGTATTTAACAGAATTATAATCATTAGTTATTTATTATTTAAGATAATGTTTGGGAAAAAAACAAAATTAATTCGGTGTTATACTTTGGAAATTTTTATGTATTTAATAATGCTTTAATTTAATTTTTAACTCGGGCTATTTTTCAAAATTATTATTATTATATTATTATTAATTTATTATTACTATAACTATAACAAGGTTTAATATAATTTAGTTGAATAATAATAATACCTAATTATTATTATTATTATCATTATTATTTTTATTATTATTATTAATTTATAAGAAAAAGATAAATTGCAAATAAGTATTCTTCATGGCAAAGTGTAATAGACGCCTACAGCAAATTCCTCCTGGAAATAGCGAAGGAGTCGAGTGTGTTGCAAGCAGGATATTACATTGTTTACAATTAGAATTATCCTTTGCTTTATGATCTTTTATTTCCATCAAAAAACTTTGGATTCATTTTCTTATCAATAATAAATAAATATTAAATTATAAGTTATAATTATATAATAATAATTAGAATAATATAAATTACATAAATATTATATTTTACATACGTTTATTTATTTAACAAATTAAACAAACTTTTTTTTAAAGCAAAAGTATTCAAACAATTTTCCAAAAATAAATTTAAATTCTTTAACAAAATTGGGAAAATTTTCTTTTTCAGTATAAAGCAGAAAATAAAAAATTTGTAGTTAATTCGAAAATTATTAAGAATAGAGAAAAATTTAAATTAATATTTCGTAAATAGAAAATTTGCAATCTTTGAATAATTACAAATTATTTACTTTGAAATGTATAATGATAATTATTTTAGTCACGTTTTAGACTTGCGTTAGATGAAAATTATTGTGGATAAAAATTTATTATGTCTAATGTTATAATTTGATATAGAAGTGAAATTAAATGTTTTTTAAGTGTTGAAAAAGGCAGCAAGATACTAAGTTTTCTCTAAGAATATATTTATATAGTTTTGTCATGACGAGGGGCCACCTGACACACCTGCCACAATGAAATTATCGCATTTGGTTGCCTTGGGGCGACGGTGACTAGTGTTACGTCGTCAGTTAGTTACCCCGCAGATTAACATTTTAACTCCAACTTATATAAAATATAACTTAATATAAAAGATCACCACCGTGGATAACAAAAGAAAACGGCATCATTCGTCTGATAGGTCGTCGTGTACTTAGAAAATATCATTCCTCAAATATGCGGATATTATTTTTCTCACAAAAAAAATACTCGAGAATTTTTCACAATAACCTGCCACGGAGAGAAATTTCCAATAAAAATTACTGTGCTTGTCACCTGAAAGTATGTGCAAAATGTTTTTACTAAACTATTTGTATCGGAAGAATAGAAATATTGACTTGCGCACAATTTTATTTCATATGGAAAACAGTTTTATTTCCAAAATGGCCTCGGAATATTTCTTTGAAAGCACCTTAAAAACTGCTGAACCAGGACTTTCTAATTTGGTCCAAAGCAAAATATACATATTAACCGTACCATGAAATAGTTATGCGCAGGTTAATAAAATAAACTGTGCTGCTTACAAATTTTTACTGTGCTGCCTGCATAAAGTCAAGTTGAAGAAGAC